GCAAGGGAGGTGAGGAAAAGACAAGAGTGCTTTTTAGCTAATTCACTTCAAGAGGGTTGAAATCCACCCACTTCCTTCCCTATCTCCTGTTCAGTCTCTCTCTGTTCATACCACAGTACGAACATACATGATTTCTCCCTCATTCTTTTGCTCAAATATGTAAAACACACTCCCCTTCGTCCCCCTCTCCGACAGCAACACAGAGAAAGCAAACGCAAAAAGCAAAGATCTATTTGACTGGATAGCGCAGAGTCGATGTCTGCCATACGTCAGTGTTGCCCTCTAGGTGTTTGTCTAAATGGACAGCTTAGTTAGGATTAGTTGGACCAACAGCAAACATCTTTAGAGGCAGGGAGGTCACCTCGTATGTGCATGGATGCGCATGTGGCAGGAGTACAGTGCCCATATGTTGTAAATCCTTCCCTTAGGGACAACATATGCAGTCCTTGTGAAGGCACACAGTCTTAGGCTTTTTAACATTTAAATCCTCCTCTGATCTCTGAAAACCCAAACTATGTTTTATGAAATATCAATTGCACCTCAAACTCTATTTGAAATGTCTAAATGTAACGATTACTTGGAGATCTTTGCTGAGCTTTCATGCTCGCAGATTTATGCAGGCATGCACCAGTGTGTGTCTTTCCTCTGGCCAATAGTGCTGTAGCAGCATGTGGTCCAACTGTCCTAAAGTATCAGTTGAAGACATCCCTGGGCCTTTCAACACCACGACCCCACCGAGAGAAACATTCGCCTGCGAATAGACCCTGGCACAACAGGGGCGGCCAAAACCATGATGTAACTGTCACATGGGAATTACATGGTCAGTCTATCAGAGCAAAACATATTCAGAATTTGCATGTGTTTTTGTTGTAAAAGGCAGTGTCAGGCTGTAAATTCTGGCAATTCATTCAGCTCCTCGCACAGATATAAGGACACGTGCACACACAAACACACAGACGGAGGGGAGCAAGAAAAGAGGGGTGCAGAAAAAGAAGTGTATGAGAAAGAGGGAGGGAGGTAGGGAGTACTGTAACAGTAGCTCCTCTCCTCGCCACCAAACTGCATCACCCACAGGAATAACAGTTGGGCACATACAATAGCCTTGCGCATAAAGACACACAAATAGCACACCAAGAACTATTGTAAAGCGCAATTCATGGGGAGAAGAACCCTATAACACTTTCTAACATCCCGAATGACAATGCCAGATGTCAACCTACAAGCAGATTTACTCCTTTCAGCACTGTTGCATATGAATCGGCCTAAAAGAAGAGCCCGGCAATCCATCAGGGGTTAAATAGTTCAAACAGGAGCAAGGAAATAATGTTTTTTTTTAAGTTCTTTTACAAGTATAGACAGATAGATATAGATCCCATGAGACTTCAGGTATAAAGTAGAGTGTATGATAGCTTACTTTTAGGGTTATGTGGGGTATGTGAGTGAGTGTGTATGTCGGGGGGCGGTAGGCCAAAATATGTTGCCCCGTGGGACCACAGTGGAACCTCACACCAGCCCCCACAGAGAAGGATAAGGCCATCTGCCCTCCTCACGCATCAATCCCACCTAGAAGACACACACACACACACACACACACACACACACACACACACACACACTGAGTGCTGGGTAGCAATATGGAGAGGCTTTGAGACAGTGTTTGATCTGCCTTTCATCCAGTTGGCAGCACGCGGGCCACTGAGCCTCTCTGTGTGTCTCCTGCTGTACTGTCCACTGTCCCAGTGGAAATCACCAGCCGATAACAACAGCTCCAACCTAAGGCATGAATGGCAGGACACAAGCTGATCAGCCTCATCTCTTGACTGAAGGAACAGGAGGGGGCACAGCTCATTGGATCCATTCAAACTTAAATGACTTAACTCAAATGTTTCTTTAAAGCCAGAAGTCACACAGAGAACATGCCAATGTGACACGTGTGAGTTAAAACTAAAATTCAGAGATATGCCAGGCATTAGAAATGAAAAAAAAAACTAGATGAAAAAATGTAACAGTAACTGAAAAGTCTGCATCCAAAACAACTGCATTTATGTCCTCTTGCCCTCTAAAACTGCACATGAAACAAGATAACCAAGGCAAGGTACATTAATTTGTGAAACACCTTCCAAACAAAACCAATTAAAAGTGCTTTAGGTGAAGACATTCATTTAAATACAATAAAAAGGGAAAAACCAAAAGTGAGATAGAACAACATTATATGTAAATTTATGGACCAGAAATACAGTTACAGTTATGCTGCAGTAATAAGCTGATCAATAAAAGAAATAAAAGTACAGTTAGTACAAAAGGTAGCCTATGTACTACAAACAAACACATGGTAGGAAATGTCTTGAATAGAGAGGAACTGTATCATCACCATTGGGCCCAGGAAAAACTACAGTATGTAGAATTAATATAGGCTGGGGCTGAAAAACTAAATTCATGAAGAGATTAAAAACCTAAAGATTTTTAGATAGTCTTCAGGGGAAAGAGACACAAAATGAATTGCAAGAAAAAAACCCTGGGTGTGGATCCAATCCGGTGTGAGTCAGCTGAGCCTGAATGGCCCAAAACATTGATATGGTTTTGGAGGTTGTATAAGCTGATATATTGTGGGACAGAGAGGAGCCAGGTGTCACATTTATTGTAAGATCAAGCCTATTCCTCTAAAGGGTTAGGGTTAGTGTCTTTATCTTCAAAAAACAAAAAAAGTACCAAGTTTCAGAATTCTCCTTCATCTTCATCCTCACTGACTTTTCATGTGGTTTGAAGCAGGCTGAGGCACAGATGGACAGAGAGCCGGTGTGGTCACACTTTATGAGTCCACTCAGCTGAGAGTTTGAGGCCTGTCTGGAACCAGGGGCAAGCCTCAACATCAGCCAGACTATAGCACACACACACACACACACACACACACACACACACACACACACACACACACACTACACTACACTGACAGCTATTAGGCAATCAATAGAAGCTAATACATCAGAGCATTTGACCACTCAGCTCCACTAGCTTAGCAGACAGAGAGGAAGAGAAGAGAAGAGAAGAGAAGAGAGGAAATCTATCAATCATGCTGTATGAAGAAATGCATTTAACAACGCACGAAAGCACACAGGTGGCCCCAAATGTATGAATATCCCTGCAACAGCAATCTCCTCTTCATATCAATAGACATTACTAATGGATCACAACATCAAATGCAGTTGTGGCCGCATTTGTGAGATGACTTGAGTGTTATAAAACAACACACATTGTTTTGGAGAGAGTTATGGCCGTTTGAACCCTCAGAGGGAATTAACCTCAGCAAACCTATAAAAGTCCTGTGCTCCTCTCATTAATATCACATTAATATAAAGATTCATCTAACGGACCGGCCTCCAGAGGCCCTCTTAACTTGCCAGGAGGTTAAGTGTGAAATCAATCCACATAAACGACCTGGATAAAAATTCTTCCATGCTGGAGCATTGAGCCCTAAATCAGCCAATCAAAGAGGTGCTAGTAAAACCAGTCTTTTAGCACAGCTCGCTAACAATCTCAGTATTTCAGCTCTGGCAGCTCATTCTCCTTTTTTCTCCTTCTGTCTTTATTTTTGTCTTTGTTTCTTGTCCCATCCTTCTCCTCCACCCCTCTGCTCCTGGAAGGCCACAAAGGGGTGTATCACCTCCTTTCACAGCAGGCCTCTGGTGGAGGCTTGGGGGTTGTATACATGGGAGGTGCTGGTCCAATGAAGGGTGATCTACACTTGTTCAAGCAGTCATATCTGGGCTATTTGAAGGGAGAGGGAGGCTGTTAAACATTCAGTGAGGAGGTGACCCCCGACCCTGAAGGCTGCTGTCCATCCGTTACAGAAAATAAACAGAGAGAGGCTGAGCACAGTGACTTTACTGCCCTTCTCCCTGCAGACAGCTCAGAAAGATGTACAGAATAGAAGAGCAAGCATCTTCAGCCCTTTATCATTCTGATTTGATGAAACAAGAAGATTTCAGATCAACATCATTTTACTTTAATTTTCTTCTCCCACTGCTTGCATCTGTGTTGTAGCACTCACTTAGCACTGTGGCAGCATTGTGGTGTTTGACTACATGCCCTCAGTGTGAAGTAGGGTGACCCAGAGGTTAGAGGTGACATAACAGAGCACTGAGACAAAGACTGGACACTGTGTCATCTGTCAGACCCCTTGCTGCTGCCACCACCAGTACCAATTGGGGCTTTCCTCAAATGAACCCCAACAGACAGACACACAATGGACATATCTATCTATCTATCTATCTATCTATCTATCTATCTATCTATCTATCTATCTATCTATCTATCTATCTATCTATCTATCTATCTATCTATCTATCTATCTATCTATCTATCTATCTATCTATCTATCTACAACACATGTAGGACAGTTGGTGACAGTGTGAGGGCAGATGTCAGTCATGGCAAGCTCCTTTGTGCGTGGAGCAATAGACCACCTTACTGCTGAACTCTATTGTCATTCATTTGGTCCAGTGGGGTTTGTTCATTTTTACTGTGAGCATGCAGTCTCCAATTCATCACTTGGCTACATACACTAGACAGCGGACGCACACAAAAGGGACACATGCACTGACTGGACTGATGCACTGACGATAAATAGACCTGTACACACACAAAGGCATGCAACTGCCTGCAAAATGTTTACCAAGACACCATTCATGAAGCATTATCTGAATGTTTAACAACTTTACACTTTCTTTTTTACTGCACTGATGGTCACTACAGAAGACACAAAAGTTTAGCATATAATTGATTTCATTAAACCTTTGTTTTGTCTTCCATGTAAAATTATTTTATTTTATTGCCACATTTCTGGCAAAAATCATTAATCCTTTACTCAAAAATATGTGTACAATTTCATGTAACCCAAAGAGAAAGTTTGTGCTGTGTTAATTCGTTTTGAACCAATTTATTTACTCTAAACTGAGATTTTAATGGAAGACCGGGCTCAATATAAACAAAAACAAACAATCTTGTTTCCATGCGCTGATTTTTTATTTGTTAATGATGAAAAAGCAGACGCTCATAGGGAACAAACGAGGACACTTTCGATTGCTTTTGCAGCCTTACATTACAGTAAAAAATATTATCATACATTATAAATTAAGAGAGGGTATAACATTTACTTTATACACAAATAGGCTCAAATCTACAATGATAAAAATAGCTTTGCTTTTTAAGCTTATTCGATGCAAGAAACCCCAACGTAATAATAATAATAATAATAATAATAATGATAAAACGTTGTTGTTATTATTATTATGGAATCACATTGAGTTCACAAAACCATTGCAGAGTGAAAGCTTTAAGCCACAAAACAAAACACAGACAACATATTTGAACATATTATAAATAGATTTAGACACATTTTTTTGCCGACAATTTATATTATGATGAGCCTATTGAAATAGACCTATTATAGAACAACATTTTCTCAAGCCGCATTTACATAAAGAAAAACCACGAGATCCTACCTTACAGGCCTTATTAATTATCTCTCATGACAGTGCCACAATGTTCCTGCGTGGATTTAGTCTTCCTGTGATATTTGTGCCGTCTAAAATCCACAAAATGATTACGCACAATTAGAATGGTTGTCTTTGTCAGGATTTACTCAGTACATATGAGGCCGTGTTGGACTAGTTCCAGGGCCGATATTCTGGGTTTAAAACTGTTAACCCGGTGTATGGGAGGTTTTGTCCGGCGTTTTTCTGTAATTTTGGATTGTCCTTCACTGGAAACACGGAGTCCTTCTGAAATCCACTCCCCGGAGAGGACGGAAGAACTGTGCTGTCCAAGATTTCTGCAGAGCAAGAAAATAGCTTCATAAATAACCAGTTTCGAAGGCAAGCAATGCAACATTTTCCTTTTGCAGCCTACAATATTTATTTTATAATAAGTTAAAGACAAAAGTTAGCTTGTAAATTAAAAGAAACTAACACCAGATTCTAACACGTATTAATTTATACACATATATTGTCATTAAAATACACAATTCTCACATATAATAGCCTAATTTGTTACGAATTTACCCTATTATGGGATACAAATAATACACAGTATTTTACATATATAAATATTTGATTGCTTAAATTAAATTAAATTAAATTTAAATGTGTTTCTTATATCCAACTTGAAATTCTATTTACAGAAATGATAGAAAGAGTGGGACTCCATCTTATTTAGATCTATAACTCCAATATTGTATTTAAAAAAAAATAAATGCTTACTTTTATGAGTGTTCATGTGGTACTGAAGTTCCTGCTCATCTTGACAAGTAGCTCCGCAGAGGTTGCAGGGACAGGGCTTGTCCTTGGCGTGGGTCCGCCGGACGTGGCTGTCGTGGGCGGCGTGTGAAGCGAAGGCCTTCCCGCAGTGCTTGCACTTGAAGGGCCGCTCCCCGGAGTGCTGGCGGATGTGTGTGCGCAAAATACTGGAGGCAGTGAAGGCCTGGAGGAGAAGGAAGGAGAAGAAAAAAAAACATTTTTAATTTTCAGCTATGTTAAATTAATAATTTGGGCAACAATAATGATGACAGGATAAATATATTTTAGCAGGTGAAGGGTGTTATAGGAGTTTAAAAAATAGATACTGTTTTATATTAGCTAGCTCTTTTAATTAAGCTAATTTGAAGCTATAGGCCTACCTATGTGTCACCTCTAACAGTAGCCAGTTTTAATTGAATGACTTAATGGAACGAATATTGATTAAAAATAAATAGAAAAGAAGGCAAATTGTCCAATATTTTCCATTATTTTCGTTGTTTTTTAAAGGCCATTGCTAATGTTAGCCCTTTTAAAAAGACTGGTCTTGTGGCGTATTGCTTAAATCATCCAGATAAGGAGAAAGGGGGCTTAACAAACCCCTCTCTGGGTGCATACAAACGGGGAGGATATCGAGAGAGAAAAAGAACAAAACAAAACAAACAAAAAAATCCACTTCTGCTCATTCCATGGGCCGTAAATTAAAAGTATAACCTCGGCAGACAAAAGGGTGGGTGTACATCTGGCGATAATTAGCATGTAAGTGTGTCTGCGGAGCGTGCCCGTCGAGAGAGACAATAATGAGGGGCTCGAGCCAAATGCACCATGAAACGAGGAAGTGGTAAATGGATCCGAATGGGTGCAGGAGGAAGAGGAGTAAGGAGGAGCAAAAGAAGGCCTGCAGCTCCTGTACTCATTGAACCAGAAGGGGGAACTCAAATCATTACTATCCTAGAAGATAAAAGCCTTTAATACTTTTATTAAGGGAATGTCTCTTTTTTTTCTTAAATTAAACTATACGGTTATATAATTAAAAGCTGTGTATTTAAAGCCGCGTTTTACTACACAACTCCATGGCCTACTTCAGATAAACTGTGCCTGAGTATGACTTTTTAAACACAATGCATTTTATAGGTTGGGTCCATGCTATGACTTTGTAAAATGAGAAACAAAAATAAAACTTTATCTTACCTTATTGCAGTAGACACACTTGTACGGCCGCTCTCCGGAGTGCACACGCATGTGTTTGTTGAGACTGGACGACTGGGAGAAACTCTTTCCACACACTGAGCACTGCAGATCAGACACATGTAAGACATCAGTGTGAGTAAAAGCTGTTAAATGTGTCATCACCTCTAAACTCATTTACAGTTAGATGAGAGAATGTAACATTATATAGAAGTTTCCAACAAAAAAGGTGTTTTTTAATAACTAATTTAGCTGATATTGTTTAGTTGTGATGCTTTGCCACCAACTAGAGGTCTTACTCTTACTAGGAGGCCTAATTAAAACCTGCAGCACTGGTTTCGAAGTGGCGCTGTAGGGAGCTGTCCTTTCAGCACCACACGAACCTTTGCACGCACATAGATTGACTTTACCGGGTGATGTAATCATGTAATGATGTAATGGTCTGCAGTATGAATGCCGTGCACTAAATGCAACAGACATGCACGCCCATGCGCACTGTGTCCGTACCTTGTGAGGCCTGTGCTTTTCGTGAACGTGTAAGATGTGGATCCTTAATCTGTCTCTCTTCTCGAAGGATCTGTTGCAGAGGTGACAGGGGAACTTCCTGTCTCCCTGGTCCACGCAGCGCGTGTACTTCAGGTGCTTGTCTCTGTAGTACTTGTATGCAAACACCTTCCCACATCTGTCACACTTGAAGCCCTCACCAGTATCTGGAGGGGAAGAAAAAATATGTTGTTGCATGGTGGTAAAACTAAGCAGAAAGTTAAAGCAAACCAGCAGAAGGTTAGATTCTGACCTTCAGCGGGAGGGGGCACGTTGCTGTCCTCTCTAGGGTCCTTCAGGGTGAGAGGGATGCCGAGGAACTGCATGTAGCAGTCTCCGTACCACACCAGCAGCTCCTGCCCAGGTCGGATCTCTTTACAGGCCTCATAGAAGATCTGACCCTGGACCTGCACAGCGATCAGGTTCTGCTCGTCTGGGAATCGAGCACACTTCACCAAAGACATCCAGTTCCCTGAGCCTCCCCTGCCGTCCACAAAATGACTCAACCGGCCGTTTTCAAACACCTGAATGAGGGAAAATAGTGTTTTTTTGCTTTAGATATAGGAGCTAAAACAATCAGAGGAATTTTTTGATATGTGAGACAGGTCTTGGATCAGGACTTACCTCCCACATCAGCGTGTTGTCGTCGTATGTTTTAATCTCGCTGGTATTGACCAGTTTTCCTTGGAAGGGTCCGAAGCGTGTGCCTTTAGGGATGCTGCTTTTGTCTGTGAACACTCCACGGTGTGAGACGTTTCCCCAGGCTGCCTGCAGGATGGTCAACCCTGCAACAGTGCCAAAAAAAACAAAACAGTGTCAGATCTCTGCCGTGCCATCATGAGTTCAGAATAAAAGCGGAATAAAAGTGTTTTATGAACAGAAAGCTGGCAGGTCTTACCCTCTGGAAGTTCAAGTGTTTCTTTGTCCAGTGGGAGAATGTGAGAGTCAGACACTGGAGGGGCAAAGCAGAAATGAGCAACTTAAACCAATTTCTGGGTTAATTCAACTATAATATTACTTATAATAATGGTTATTAGACTATTTGATAAAAGTGGTAAGCAATATAGACTATTAGACCTATTATAATCCACAGACATTTGGACATTTGCTTGCAGGATACTAGTAAAACCAAGGCCAATATGCCGTTTTATCCTTTCATATAAAACTAAATAAAAGTCCAATAACTTAAGCAGAAGTCTCACCTGTCTTTTCGGGCAGGATCAGTCCTGAGATAGCGTGGCTTCGCTCCTGGTTGCCGGAGTAACCGTACAGCACCATGAACAAGTCATCCTCACTAAAATTATAAGCGGTGCGCGTTTTTTCCGGCGACAGCTCTGCGCTCCGGAGGCGAAACAAACTCTCCTTAGGCGGCGAGGTGGCAGAGGAAGAGACAGAGGAGGACCTGTCACTGGACGGGCTGCTGAAGTCCGAGGACAGGGGACCAGCGGCGTGCTCCGTCACCACAGCTGCCAGCTCCTCTGGTTTGGAGTGGAGCGGGTGTCCGGGCAACATCTGGCTCAGGTAAGGGAAGCCGGAGGCGCTCAACATGTGTTCGTGCAGGAGCGAGGCATGGTGGCCGCCCTGGCCGAGGTACGGAGGGGCTCCGCCGGGCATGCTGAGCTGCAGGGAAGCCTGAGTGTCCGACACCAGACGGCCGAGGGACTTGAGCGGGTGGAGGAGGTTGTGAGTCCGCGGGAAGAAGTCCATGTAGTGATGGGGGCCGGGGAGAGGGGCAGGGTAGAAGCCCCGTGCGGGACTGCCTTTGAGCATGCCGGCTTGGTAGCACTTGTCCTTCAGCACTACAGGGATGCTGGACAGGGACACCGACATGGTGAAGCAAAGGTTCAAATGGAGAGTGTATCCTTCAGTGGATGAGGGAGAGAAGAAGAAGGGGGGGGGGACGAGAGGAAGTGGGGGTGAGTTATAAAAGTTTAATGCAAGAAATCTAAAAAAGGAAACATGACATCAAGAGAGGTTGACTAGACCCCACTTTTAAGCCTTTACTGAAGTAATTCAACAACAACAACAATCAGCTAAAATAATGCTTTGTAGTTTATGTAGTACATTTCATTAAATGTCATGATCCTGAGAGGAAATTATGATATAAAAAGAACAATAGGCTTTAAATGAATTATTAAGAACCAGAAACAGACTTTTTCCAATTAGTTAATATAACAATATTTTAAATAACCAACAACTTATAACTCATATCCAGAATTTCCCTTTAAAAACCTCCCCTATGGACTAGTGCATATGACAACATTGGGCAAATATTGAACGGATCTATTGCAGTATAAATAAAAGCTATCCACAGTGAAATTGGACAGCCGATTTTGCAATATTTCCAGCTGAGAGGACACACACCAGACACACCAGATGTTCATCAGCGGCTTTAAATGGCCCACTGGAACACGGTGCGTTGTTTTTGGGGCACCGTTTACCAATCAGCCAGTAAATAGAGAGACAAATCAGGGTCATGACACTAATTAAAGAAGAGTCGGCCAGAGCAGAGGTCAACATTAATGAAGCATTTTATAGACTTTGCAATTACGGTACAGTCACTGCAAAAAAACCCAACTCATCAGCAGCAGAATTATTGGAGCAATATAGGGAAATTAATATAATCAAGGAAAATACAACTTCCTAAATAAACAGGAATAAACTATAAATAATCTTAATCCTTTAGTATTTTTAATAAAAGAACAAGGCCTCTAACATAAAATAAAGAGTCAGAGTGAATTCACTCTGTAATTGTCTCTACAGAAACATGCATCAGTTTGGCTGTTGCAGTGATTTTTCATCCATTTTGAGAAGAAGCTTACCTTGTTAAATAAATGAAAGATGTTTCACAGTGAAGTTGTCTCTGTCATGTCCACAGGCCTTCAGTTTCAGCAACCTCCCGTACAAATCTCCAAATTCTGCAGGGGTTAAGCAGCGGGTCTTGGAACTTGAGAGTGTGTGTGTGTGTGCTGCAGGAGCCTTTCTGTCTTTCTGTGGGTCTGTGGTCATCTGAGGGCACCTATACTGTACAGCCAGGTCTGCTGGAGATGCTTCCCAGCACCTTCTTCCTATTGGCCAGGAATCAGCTCAGCCTCATGCATCTCAATGCCCCCACAGGAATACATTTTCTCAGGGACAGCCCACCCCTTTAACTTCTCCACAACAGTCTGCTTTCTCTGCCACACAATGAGGCTGATTGAGAAAGGTTCCCAAACATTTCCATACGAGGACCCCCACCCCAACACACACACACACACACACACACGGTACGATTTTATCTGAGGGACCCCCTGTGGAGTATAGACATGTGTTGTTATGACTTGGATGTGGTGAATTAGGAAGAGAGAAAAGAATGGTCGAAATAGGCATTCATAGGATACATCTTTCTCTCAGTCCACCGAGAAAATGAATAAAACTGAAACGAATCCGCATCAGTTCTTTGGTATAGTTTAGACGGAACATTATAGAGATCTGGGGATTCTGGATCATATTTGTGTTTTTCTGTTGAATATATATTCTTACTGACTTTGGGTTTTGTGCTTTTTTTCTTGTGTGAGCATTGTGTAGACTCACCTAGGGACGGACATTGCAAACTATAGGCAAAATACTGTAGGCTATGTATCGTTGTTCTATGCAGCCCATTTGTCCCCATAAACATCAAATAACTAAGAAAATATGTCTACACATTAATTCACGTATTTATAATCTTTACTATAGGCTATTCACATTAAATTACAGTGAATATTAGCGTGCACCCAAAAACGAAAACTCGATAAAACATTTCTGGAGAAAGTTTTGTTTTTAATTTCTCATGCAAATATTGTCATCTTAAAATACAACATTTTACAGTTAAATTGCATTTACTTTAATGTTCATATCGCAGTTTATTTGTATTCCTCGTTGAAATAAAATGTTCTTTTAAATTCAATTAAAATGTTTTTTCTCACCGTTTCAGTCTGCAAAGTTATATTAGTTCCTTGTGCATTTTTTTTATATATTGGAAAGTTCAATGACAAGTTAATTCATTTAATTCTTTTTTTTTTCTTTCCACTTTCAATCCCACGAAATAAGAGTCACTCGATTAAATACTGCAATAACAGAATTCTTTATTTACAAGGCAAATAGCATCAGCGAAGCCATATTAGTTCACAACTTGCATAACTGTGGTTTTAACTTCTCTTGTATATCTAATTTTGCATAAAACGCTCACACACACTAGGGATACAAAGATGGATGCGGTATACAGTGTGATTCCTGTGAACAATGCAGAAAAAAAAATATCTCGGGAAAACACAACAGTAAGCTTTCTTCAGAAAGTCCATATAGTATATTACATATTGCTTCAATATCCCTATGTATCATCTTTTCCATACAAACAGTGAGGGAGGGGGAGGCAGGGAGGGGGGAGGAAATGAAATAACAGAGTCTTCAACCCAACACAGAACAGAGAGCAATGAGGAGAGACGGTTCAACTGCGACCGAGTCTCCAGCAACTGCACAGAGTCGAACAATGATGCACCCATTCAATATTGTACACAAGTCATTTAACAAATTTATACAGACAGCGGTGTAATGTACAAGAACGAGAACGGACGAAATCTAAGGCATTATGCTAGGGTTTTTAGCATTTCAAGGTTGCATCTTAGCTCTAAGAAATTGGCAGACAATACAAAAGGGCATTTAAAGTTCTTCAAAACCATAAGTTAAAGAGAAAAAATATTTTCGTTTAGTGGGTCCAAAGCCTGGATATTTGTAAGGGGCAAAGTTCATTTATTTGCACCTGTCCTCATTATAAATGCTTTAAAAAATGCATTGCTACCACATGGCTTTAAATCTTTTCAAAATCTTGACAATCTTTGGAAATTTGCAAAGGGCTGTGAATCATTCTTTAAAATGGCTCAAAAAGGCTTGTTCTGCACGACTGTATGATACAATCAAAACAGCATTTATCAAAAAAGTGTGATCTTCTCCTGTAGGCCTGCAGCAAAACAACTGCAGGACATCTGCAATGATGACAACCAAAACAGTAATGCAGACTTCCTTTGTCCCAAAGTTGACTTGCTACAGCTTCAAATTTCATGTAGTATGTAAAAAAGAAAAAAGAAAAAAAGAAAAGAAAGAAGCAACAATGGGCAAACTTCCTACCTAAATGCAGAGAAGAGCACGGTGCAACTGTACAACATCACGTTGTCAACATGTTGACAATACACACCATCAGTCACATCCTTAGGCCTTATATGACAATACATTCAGAATGATTCTCTTCCTGTTTTATGCTGCAACATCTACATTAGACCCTGTTAAGTGACATCATCATAAATTTCTTGTTTTCTGTGGGCCTCAAAGCATGCTAACCAACAGGTCGTCTCTCACTATGAAAATAAAAGCTGGTAGAATTCAGAAATCCAATTGAAAGGTGAGGGTTATTTGGCTTGCTCCAAGTCTGTCCTGGGTTAAAATAGTTGATATAAAAAGGTTTTGTTTTTTTTTGAGGAAAATGTACTTTTGAGGTTAGAGAAGATGACTTGCTTTAGATCTTGTGAAGGTCAAACCAAACCCCTACTGGGGCACAAGAATAACATGTCATTACTGAACACTATATAGTTGAACTAACTGCCTGAGGTCATAAAATATGGCTAAGTGTCTGTCAGAGCAGGTCTCATGAACCGTGCAGTCTTAACTCTGACCTCTGCTATAGAAGAGTGGCTAGAGGCAGAGAGGGTGTGTGTCAACAAGGGGATCACAAAGTACTTCCCTCTCCAGTCCTCAGCCAATGCTGCATAATCTAACAGGAACGCTGTGTGTGGATGTAGACTTTCTTGGTACAAACTGCAATAAAAAAACTGTGTTTAATACTGCATCCAAACGTGGAGCAAAAATGTGTCCTTTTTATTCAGGAAACTGTACAAAAATTACAAAAACAAAAACACAAAAAAACCCCAAGAGTTTCTCAAGTAATCGTTATTGCTTGTTTACATCACACCAGAACAGTTTGCACCTAGCAGCTTGTATGAAGCATGTTTCACTCCAGACAACATAGAAAGCACACTTCTGTTATTTTTTTTTTTTTTTGAGTTATTGTATGGCTGTGTTGAAGTTGACGGGTTTTTTTTTTTCTCCTTTTTTGTGGTGTTCTATGCTAAAGGCAGAGAAGCAAGCGATAATCTGTACACTGTATACACAGCACACCCCCTTACAACCCTTTCCCACCTCCCACCCGCACCCCCTGTCTGCATCGTACCAGAACATCAGAACGTGAAGGCTCCCACTCCACTTCCCCCAAAAAAACAAAACAAAACAAAAAAACAAAACCCCAAACTTGCTCTGCTTCAAAAGGGAGTTGTGACCAGACGGGGAACCAAACCCAAAGGAATAAAATAAATAGGAAAGAAAATGTTTTACTTATTGTTATGTACAATCTCTGTAATTCATTTTTAAACCATATATGATTTTGACATCTTCTTCTGAAACTACAGGACCAAAGCATAATCCATTATTCAGGTTAATAGAAGAATCTTCTCAGAAAGAATACAACCATTACTGTTAAAATTATAAAAAAAGTGCCTCTTTCACACTTTTAGAAATATTTTTTCTTGTTGCTACTAGGATAAAGAATCATCTACAATAATTAAAATGAATCTATACAGAAAAATAAAACTTAATTTAATACACTATATAAACCTCTTGACTAAATTAGTCTAATCATACAAATCACCATTCCACTCAAACCATTCTTCTGCAGTGTTTTTCAAGATCAGTTTTTTTCAACCATATCTTCATTCTACATCTTAATTCTCACAACAAGAAAAAAAACAAAAACAAAAAACAACTAAAATAATAATAAAATAAAGAACAGCAAAAAGGCAAAACCGGCTAAGTGTTTGAGCTCCGTCCATAAATTTAAACATAACTTGGAGTCTTTGCTGCCATTTTGGAACTATGTGGAAATGTCACAAATGTGTGAGAAAGGTAGGACATAAAAGAAAAATCAGTGTACGTCATTTTTGAGATGAGATTGTAAATGGCCGCTGTCCACTGAGAGGAATACATTCATCAGAACAAGGGATCCCACCCACTGCTGCCCCCTTAGGTCAGTGTCCCCCCACCAGGAGGCCTACAGTAAGTCACACTACGGTGAATGCAGCTGGACAGGCAGACAGACTGGCTCATCACAAGGCTCTCCTCCAGGAGGGTTAGGCATGTTGTACAGAGATCCACAATCCTTCCGCAGCCCTCTTCACTCTCCTGTGTCTGTTCGGGGCCGGGCTCCTCCGGGGATGCCGAAGAGGCCCAGCTGGGACAGACTGGCAAACTCGGGCTGGGGAGACGGGGTCAGGGCACGGCCTGGCTGGTTCAAGGGGCAGTCGGTTGGTTACATGTTTGTACAATTTTTAAAGGGCCGACGTGCTCCTTGCACCAGCTGATCACTGAGGTTCAGGTTAAGAACTCCATGAGGGTCAACAGTATTTCTGCAGAGAAACAACACGCAACATGTAAAGCATTTAATAAATACAATCCAACAGCAGTGTTTGCTTAACTTGAACTTGCAGAACTTGAACTTGTCTGAAGTAAATCAGCCACGTGTGCAAAAGGCTATAAACAATTAGAAACCATCATCTTGGAACACACCATCAAGCCTAAAACAAGTCAGTAAATCACAAAAGCCTGCACTAATGGCCAAACGGTAAATAATTGAAATAATCTAAGTGCCAATATATTTCTATAATCCTAGAAGGAGAATAAATCAAGTGACAGATATACTGGTATGTTACAACAGTCTGAAGTGCAGACAATCAAACAGCAGCACCTTGGTTAAATATTCATGGCCCTTTATTGGGCTTAAAAGCATCACAGATAACAACAGTGCATTCCACATACCCAGCTATCAATACCAGGGAGACAAAGGAAGAAAGATTAACTTGGTTGTTATTAAATAATCACCAGAAATTAATTGCATGTAGACAAATAACCTCACTCGCTGAAAATCTGG